CAGCACACAGCACACAGCACACAGCACACAGCACACAGCACACAGCACACAGCACACAGCACACAGCACACAGCACACAGCACACAGCACACAGCACACAGCACACAGCACACAGCACACAGCACACAGCACACAGCACACAGCACCCAGCACACAGCACACAGCACACAGCACACAGCACACAGCACACAGCACACAGCACACAGCACACAGCACACAGCACACAGCACACAGCACACAGCACACAGCACACAGCACACAGCACACAGCACACAGCACACAGCACACAGAACACAGCACACAGCACACAGCACACAGCACACAGCACACAGCACACAGCACACAGCACACAGCACACAGCACACAGCACACAGCACACAGCACACAGCACACAGCACACAACACACAACACACAACACACAACACACAACACACAACACACAACACACAACACACAACACACAACACACAACACACACACACAACACACAACACACAAACACACAACACACAACACACAACCCAACAACACACAACACACAACACACAACACACAACACACAACACACAACACACAACACACAACACACAACACACAACACACACACACACACACACACACACGCACATCTTACCAACACTGTGTGACTATGTACGGCGGGCTCTTGATACACGAGAACATCTGGGAACCCCGCAGCTTGCGATCTGGCGTTTGGTCAAGGTAGTTTTTTGTTAGTTAAATTGTTGTGGGACAGCTTTTCCTGTTTGCCCTTGCAGGGTGGAGAGCTTGATTTGCATTCGGCATGTTCTGGAAGCCACCCCAGACCAGTTCGATCTGGAGGAAATGGGATGGCTGCTGAACTATCTTACATCCGTTGGCATGGGCATTGGTAAGCAGGGCCAGTTTTTGACAGAGGTGATCGACTTGATCAAAATGTTCGTCCGAAACAAATCCCGTACCGGTCAAAGCTTCCGAAGCAAGTTTGCCAAATATGCGATCCGGGAGTGCTTTGAGATGCTCGCGGTGAACAGCCGGAGAGAGACCCATGGCAACAAGGAGGAGGCCAAAGCCAAAGCAGATTTGACGGCCAAGATCATCGAGTTGCTCAAGGACTGCTCCAGGCCACAGCGCAGAAGCACCAACTGCTTGCCCCCAACGTATCAATGTATGGCACTCACCATGCCATGCATGTCTCAGGCCACTATCAGGCGGTTTGCGGAAGTTTCTGCGGCGAGTGGATCTGCTGCAGTCAATTCGGGAGGTGGGCTTGTACGTCAACTCGCGAAAAGCTGCAGGCTTCTGTTGTGCTTGAGATGTCTTCGACAGGTGTTGCAGCAAGAGGAGCGTACCAGCGGAAAGCATCCCCCTACACAGATCCTGGAGATCTGGACTGGTCGGGACATCCGTCAGGCCCTGCTTCTTTCAATGCAGATGGTTGTGGCAGTTGTGGTATGTTGTGGTGGCTAATGGCCAGGTACTCTTGCCAATCGTGACCAGTCCTGCCTTCGATGTGCACGGGCCCGTGGTGCATGCAGCTTTGATGCGTCTGGCTGATGTCATACAGGCGAGCTTCGTCGTGTTAAATTCGCTTTGTATTCTTCTTCTGCAATCTTCGGCGCTTTTGTTTTGTCGGGAACAGGGAAAGCCGGACTACATGTACGACGACATTCTTCAGGACAGGCTTCACAAGTGGCTTCAAAAGCAGCTCCACAAGTCTGTGGCAGCTACGGCAGGCAGCAGGTGGCAGGTGGGAGGACCTCTTAGACTGCAGGATGTACCGCCAACGGATGAAGCCGGACCCTGGCCGGGCTTGACAGTACTGTATAGGCATCGGGCACTCGGGGAAGCTTGGGGAAGCTTGGGGAAGCAGAAGCGGTGCGTGGCTGTTTCTTGTGTTGTGGATGACGACAGTGCCTCAGGCATCAAAGGAAAGAATACCGGGATGCGGTAGAACAAGAAGACAGTACCTATCAGCAGGAGTATTTCATGAATAGCAGAGGCCTGGATCCCTTGCTGCCTAGCAGCAGAACGGGCATCGTTTATGTGACCGGAGGACTTGTGCATATGCTGCCGCTCTTGATGCCAGTCAGGTTAGACTTCGCCAATCGGTTCTTTTCAGCCAATGAAGATCTGAACATCATCTGGAACAGGGTGCAGGACAAGTGCTGTGCGTTTCCTCGTGGATGCAATGTGAGCGCAAGCAGTGTTTATGCTTTCGGCAGGACAGACTGGCGACGGAGCTTGGTGAGAAAGAGAGGACTCGTGCAGCGACTCACAAGGTTACAGACAGCGATGTGTGCTGATGGAGGAGCCTGCGCGCTAAATGGGAAGGCCATCAGCAAGATGTCTTCCAAGCCGAAGCTGGAACGAAGACAACGGCGGAGGAAAAAGCTATGCCACCTATCGGCACAGTACATGTTTACAATTGCTTACACGTTTTCGTCGGTTTATTTCTGGGGTCCTTCCAAGGTCGGAGCTCGTCCAGGACTTCCAAGTGCTGATTTGAACCATGTTGCAGTCCTGGATAGTCCTTGCAAATCATGTCGCCGCAGGACTTGATGGCGGCACGTCTGCGCATTCTGAACGAAGGGGCAGCTGCGCATTTCCGGTGCAACCTCAACAAGTACGACCAAAAGAAGCAAGAGTTCTCCTTGTCAAAGCTCGCCAAAGTTTACGCGAACTTTTGGAAAGACAACGAGAATCGTGCCAATCAAGAGGCCAGAAGCTTGACATGAATATGCAAACGACGCCATGTGCCATATGCATCAGGTGCAGGAACGTAATGATGCTGTCTACGAGCTTCTCCGCATCCCAGACAAGCTTGCAATAGAAGGGCAGCTGAAAGATGTAAAGGCCAGCTGACTTGCCACACCGTGCCTGAACAAATGCTGCAGAATGCAGTCCAATGTCTGTACGCGTGCAGGATCTCCCTCGTGTACCCAGAAGGCAGCGACGCATCCGGCAACCGCACAGAGACTTCGACAAGCTTGTATATCAAGCATCGAAAGCGCACCGGATCATGAAGACTATGCTTTGCGACTCATCAAAAGCAGACCACGTAGAAGCCGCGAGGCCTGACAAATGGCTTTCAAGGAGCTGTTGCTTCCAGATGCTTCTCGCTTTGCGAGTCTGCCGTTTACCAGTTTGGAGAACTCATTCGCTTGCAGGTGGTGTGAGTATGAGCCAGACCCAAATGGCCCACCGAACGTGCTGGCAGTCGGTCTGGTTGACTTCCTGCAGGACAATCAGGTGTGCTGGAGCAGCCGCTAGTGTTCTAGCATCATGAATGCATCGCGACATCTTGTGGCCATGACAAGGCCCTCGCCATCGATGCAGGACCTCAGGGATGATCGTGAGGCCTTTAGCATGAACTAGGGACACAGGATACAACGTCCTAAGCAGAAACGGACAGGCGTTAGCAGCACGTACCATCAAGACATATCAAGACCTAGGCAAGCGAAACAAGGAGAGCATTTTAGCGCGTGCCTTTCAGTACATCACTAGATGCTTGTAGTTTGTAGTTCATGCTGAGTTATTCCAGCTCAAGCCATGTGGAAGTATCATCGCCAGCCGTCGTAGCACATACCATGGAAGGAAAGAATAATGAAGAGTGTACTTGTTGGAAGCAAAGGGATTCCCAGTGTCACTTTCCATTTGGGAGTTTTCCAAGGTACCTGAAAGCCTGACAGAGCACGATTGTGGATGCTTCTAGCATATGCCTGCAATGCTGGTACCTGCTCTCGATTGATGTGAGGGTTTCCATGGTGGCTGACTTGCATATCTCGTCCGCAGGATTCCGGTCGCGTGAGGAGCTGTTGGTCCAGGACAAGTACAAGTACTTCAAGCGTCATGATAGGCGCACCAACTTGCGGCTGGGCAACAATGTGGCACAGATTGGCCAAATATCATCACATACCCCACATACCGTGGATGTGGTTAGCACACGCGGACAGCATACTCTGCTTGGATGCTTCGATGGTGCCCAAGTGGGGCGTGCACAGGTCGTGCATCTACTTGGAGTTCCCGGATGCGCGCTGCCTGCTCGCTGCGCTGAAGGAGTTCTTGAAGCGTGCGCAGCGGCTCTTTCTGTACCAGGCGCCCCTTTGCGCCTTCAGACTCCTACCCGAATGACTACACCTTGTACTACAAAGACTTATTCAACCTCGTTGCGCGCTGTTTTTCTTTTATGACACGCTTGATGTTAAAAAGAAAGCATTCCTTTTTGCAACGTTCCACGTCAGGTTCGAAATCGCTTTCGGCTGGCCACCAATCTCGGCGAATACTGCATCGTTCTGAAGTTTCAGCATCAGCTTCCGCTTCCGGACTGGGATGTCAGCCGTAGGAAACCAGCCACACCAAGCCAGTCTGGGTGTAACGTATTGCAACGTGTCATTCTGCGATGCGTGTGCAGATCCTGTCTTCCGAAGCATCACGCAGGACTCAGCAATCCACTACTCAGAGCTTCGCATGTGCTTAAGTGGAAAGTCCAAGAAGAACAACACTGTCCAGCAGTATCGCGACACAATGAAGAAGGCTGAAGAAATCTTGCAGCACAGCTGCAACGTTCCTCCCTCCGAGACCGGTTTGGTGGCGCAATACATCTCAACCATGTTGAGAAGCCGTAGCATCTACCACTCGGATATCATCTTCCTGCGATGCAAAGATGTCAATCTGGAGGCTGGGGGTGCCAATGGGTGACCGCCTTCAGAGCTTGCATCCTTTCAGATTCTTTCAAGCATCGCAACCGCCCGGACTCTGCATTGTCGAAATGCATCCAAAGATAGTTCTGTCCACCATCCTGACTGGAAACATGGAGTGCTTGGACAGGTCGATGGTGAGGAGGTATTCTGTCAGTCGGCGGAGCTCACGAGTTGCCAGCTCTTCGTCATTGAGCGAGAGGCTGGCAATGTGCGACCTTGCAACATCTCTATATCTCACGCTCTCAGTTTCATCGCTCCGTCCTCTCTTTTTTCTCTGTGACTCTGTCTGTAATTGATTTGGGTCTCTCTCTCTCTCTCTCTCTCGCTCTCTCGGTTTCATCTCTCTGTTTTGCTTTCTGTCTGTGGCTCTGTTTGTCTTTGTGTATACTGTATTCCTGTCCCAACGAAGGCAGGTGAGGGTGTCGTCAAGACTGGCGACCGGATTCGACTGAAGTCCAAGTTCACCCAGAAGTACTTGGATGCTTTAGCTTTCTTAAGCTGAGCGAGAGTCCGAAGATGAAATGCGGCTTGAAACGCGGAAGATGCAGAAGACATGTCTTCAGCCGAGGATGTACATGCCAGTGGGCATTTGAGATGTCGCCTGTCAGAGAAGGCGGAGGACTCATGCTCTACAGAAATTCAGAGTCCCTTAAAGTTAGCATAGCTGTGCTGCACATTCCCTGTAGGACTATGACATGACGTTCACAGTTGAAACCATTGGATGCAGAGATGACTATGCGCTTAGCCGCTTCTTTGACTGCAGAATTGCGGTTCTGCCGAATGTAAGATAATGTAAGTGCAGCAAACCCAGCCAACACGCACGTCGCCTGGGCCGGCCTCGAGAATTGCGCAGGGGTTGTTACATTGTACTCGAGTGTCCAGATCAAGGCGGCTTTGGGAAGCCAGGGGGAGGGGGAATCCTCAATCCTGACTTGAAGGTAGCCCTTCAGATTTATTGGGACCCAAGTGTCCGGGATATTTCGCAAAGCCACAACCGCAAAGTATCCAGAATATTGCCCAATATCGAACATCTTTAGAACAGTTTAGAAAACAGGTCCAGGCCCGAAACGAACCCTGGATATGTGTTGGATCATCTTTCTGGACGGCTGCCCGCGCGCTTCGGCAACGCGAGCCACCCTGGAAGCAGCGGACCCCGACCCATTTGGAAGTTTGGAATCATGCGATTGGATTCTCAAATTGAGTAGGGCTCGAAGGTGTTAAGTTGTGCTCTTTGCGCATGTCTAGCTGAACGTGTATGTGCGTGATGTCCGCGTCCATGAATGTGTCCGAATCCGAACCCGCGTCGCATGGAAGGCTGTCAGCAGCCACCTGCCGTGAGATCTCGGAAACGAAATACGCGGGCCCTTTAAGACAACTAAGTGATAAGCACGAAGTGTCGTCTGTAGGCCGTCTGCAGACGCATCGGTCGACGGATGCGAGAGAAATCTTTGCACGCCTCACACACGGAACTCACAGGATCTCACAATGTTGTAAAGATTCGCCAAAGGAGTATTGCGGGATGGGCTCTTTATGGTCCTCGGAGAATCCGTTATTTCAAAAGGCCGCTCGCTGGGGCCGCCGTCCATTCGATGCACGTTGGAAGCGGCGCTGGAAGTTGGGTGTTGCTGGTGGCAAGGCCTCAAGCTTGCTCGGTCAAGCCTGGGAGCACTCTGTAGACAACAGCTGAGACTACAGTGACTACAGCTATCCAAGATCAAGGGGTGGTTCAGCAGAAGTGCTGCCAGCTGGAACCAGAAGCTGGTCGAAATGTGTGCCTGTTGCAACATGGGGCCCCAGAACCGACTGTGTACGGATTCACCGAAACACGAATACTCGAGGAACCGCAACATGATAGACATGTCCGTTTTTTAGGTATAACTTTTGGCTCCGTGGAAGATTCTCATCCTCGACCCAGGTTGTGGGATGACGGGAACCTTGACCGAGTTCCGCAGCTTGCATGTGGAGACGTCCTTGAAGCTCAAGGCACGACGTGATCCCCGCACCTTTAAGCCTTTGTGTAGGATTTCAGTGGATCGTCTTGTTAACCTGAGCTCTAGGCCAGTGCTTCCAACTATGTGACGGTGAGGTGGGCAAATGTCATGTCAAGTTTGCTCCTTCCGTTAGCTGCTTGCAGTGTTGAAACTCTTGCTTCTCTGTGCCTGTCGATGTGCCTGCTTCTTGGCAAAGGCAGGGGGCCAACTTCTTGACATCTTTTGGGGAGAAACTTGCTGTGAAAAGTGAGCCAAGTGATGTCTTGAGCTCAGACCGCTTGCTCTCGGACTTAAGCTCGTGATTCCTTGTTCAGAGTCCTCCATGAACCCTGGCTCTGCACTAGGCCGCACATGAGTCCGGCCAAGTCTTCACAATCCTCAGGGATGGAGCCATGCTGCTGGATTTTCATGCGACGTACAACAGCAGCCGTGCGGCCATCAGGACACCTATGTGGCACAAAAGCCGTAGTGTGGTGTACTTGCTTTACGGTGTGCCCCCCCGCCCCCCCTTCCGTAAGATGGGCACTTAAAGGCTATGCTGCACATGCGTGCCGGGTAAACATATCGTTTACAAAGGAACCACCCGTAGAATAGACGCCACGTGCCCGCAGTGTCAGCATGATGCATCCTGGCCGAGGGCGGAGGGTGCGGAGGGTGCGGAGGGTGCGGAGGGTGCGGAGGGCCCGGAGGGCAGGGCGCTGAGGGGAGGGTGCGGAGGGGAGGGCGCGGAAGGGAGGGCGCGGAAGGGAGGGCGGTCCACACGTGAAACCTACGGAGGTCCGCCTCTTTCTGCGCCCCGAACGCGTTCCTGCTTGGGAAATGCACGGCAAGAACCAGAATGCAAAGAAGGCCTCGTGCCCGATCTGATTGGACAAGCGCAGGGCCCGAACCCGAAGGCTGGGCTAAACTCTAAGCCTGAAGCCTTCGGCTCCAAATCGTAAACCCGGACCCCAAAGGCTCGAACCCAAAACCTTGACAAAATCCTAGCGATTCCCCATCCCCAAAACTACAGCTTGATGTCAGCGACGAATAGGACTTTGGCACACGAGACCTCCGACGAAGTCCTTCAAAAGACAATGATGGAAGCTCATATGCGGACTGAGATTTCCAGTGGAGATGTGGACACGCACGGGTCATCCTTCCAGAGAGTCCCACCAGAATTCAAGACAATGATGTGGAGCATTGCTGGGCACTTCCGAAGCCACTTGGTCGAATCAAGCCCACCTCTACCAAATCCTTGCACCGGCTTGTTTTGGGTTACGACAAGCCACGAACAGAAGCGAGAGTACTTCCGTGTGATGTGCAGGCCACACTGGACACACCAAACATCATGCTTCTCACGAGGCAGATGCGTTTCATGGCTTGCCTTCGTTGCCTTTTTGCATGTCGTTCAGCCGAGCAATGGTCACCTAATGTTGAGAGAAGGGGTTGGCAGGGAGGGCTGATGGATGCAAGCTGGGACTCGGAGAGCCCAGAAGATGCGGAAGTTGGCACCCGCCGGGCTCGCCTTGAGTTCTCGAACAATAGGTCTAAAGAGAGCATGTTTCTGTCATGATGCCATTGCAGGCTTACATGCCTGATCCTCACGATGCCAAACTCTTACCAAGCCCTCATGATGTGCCATCCTCGTGCAGGCATCAAGCCTCCACAGGCTTTGCATCAGAGCTGCCAAGAATCTTGCAGCGATAATGCGATGCATCTACATGATGATGGAAGTTCCGCAGTGCGTTGGTGGTCGGAGGTGGGCAGGAAGCAGATGGACACAACACTGAGCTTCATGAGGTTTCCCATATTCCGTTTCCATTTCAGGGCCCGGCCCAGCACAGCTGCCACAAGCTAGTCTAAGGTCACAAATCATGACAAAAGTCTGGTTGCTCTGGTTGCTTTGGTTGCTTTGGTTGCAGGTATGTGCTGGAAACTTTCGCAAACCGAATGACGCAGCACTCTCCGCTCCCGAGGAGAGTGTCAGGGCTCGCAGAGATGGCGGGATGTGTTTTTTTTTGTGCTGGGGAGAAATTGCCGTGCTCTTTCCTTGTCTTCAAAGGCAAGAAAGAGTGCATGGACTCTGCCATTTCAAGGTCACCGCTTCTCAAGCCAAAGCCCTGTTCAGGATTATCGCATTGGTGTCAGCTGTGCAAATGGTGCGCATCTTGCCTGCATTTGGGTGAGTGCTTCCTTGTCTCTTCTGTTGTTGCGACCTGCAGCCCTTCTGCACACCCCAGGAAAGGAGAAGATGCCGGACGGCGAGCTGGATCTTACTTGCGCTTTGCTGCCGATGAAGTTCATGCGATTTTGTGCTTCAGTGTTGTCGAACCTTTGGGTCTGCCAGAGACCGGACGAGCCTGAGGCGGCAGACTGTTCAGACAGCATCAAGTCAGAAATCTCATCGCATTGGCCTTGAAAAATTGACATGTTCTTGCAGGCTATGTTCGCGGTGCCGCGAGAGCAGGAGCGACACGAAAGAGAGCTTGCCACCATCGACCGCGAGAGAATGCACTTGCTCAGCATGGTGGGCTCCTACACTTGTGATATGGTGGCAGCTTGGCCTTCAACATCTTCCAGCTTGCCAGCCGACTATCGAATGGGGCTGGTGCCCCTGACGACAACGCGCAAGCATTCCCAGGACGATGATGATGATGATGATGATGATGATGATGATGATAACGACGATGATCAGGCTGCGGATGAGGATGAGGATGGTGGTGATGATTGATGAGATAGAGGATGACCCCCTCCCCCACCCCCACATGCAGATGACCGCGGTGCTGAAACTAGTGCGTCAACGTTGTGTACTTATCGCTGCCAACCCCTGATTACCCACAGATTCCATGGATTCAGGCAAGGTCGTGCAGATTGGAAGGCCTCGTTGTTCATGTGAGATGATATGAGGGTACTGCGAATTGGCCAAAGTCGGTGGGCAATCCCTGGGCTCCGCCCGTGACCCTGCTCTCTCGTGAGCTCCTATGGCCTGGGGCTTGCTAAGGGCCGTCAGAAGTTCGGTTTCGAGGGGCACGAAAGCAGTCGAGAGAGTGCGACATTACACTCCATCGCATTGTCGAGTGCGACGATGTGCGACGTTTATGCTTCCCTGACATGAAGATGCTGCTTGCGAGAGGCCTCTTGTGCAACCCCGCTATAGTGGGTTGCGTTTCGTGGAAAAGAGGGACCCCCCAGCAACCGATCCCTGTGTTTTCCACATGCCAGCCCGACATGCCATGTGTTCAGGTCGATTTGTAGCGCTGTACGCCTGCTACCGCTGCCGCTGATATGACTTAGGTAGAGCCGATGCTCGAGAAATTGAGGGTAGCAGGGCAGCGACCTCTTAGCCGTGACGAGGCGTGGTACTTGTATAGTAACTTAGTACCAGCCGGAGCTGCAGCAAGGGTTGACAAGCAAAGCTTCGCCATGGCTCTGCAATTGGCAGGTGCTCGTCTTCCAAGACTTCTCCAACCTGTGTCTTGCCCTTGTGCAGAGCATCTTTGACAATGAGATGAGATGCGTGTCAAACTCGTCCCAGGCAGATTCCGCATCTGAAGCCTTTCATTGTACGTTTATTCCGCCTTTGACATGTCAGAATCACTGAACAGGCCCACAATCATCACCATCATCATCAAGCCATTGCAGACAAGGACTGTTACCCGTGGACGGTTGCGTCGTTGGGCAACGCTGGGCAACGTTGGGCAATGCTGGGCAATGCTGGGCAATGTTGTGCAATGTTGTGCATATGTCAGGACCGAGCTGGTGGACTTGGCGACGGACAAGGTGACCAGAAGGATGCGATGGTCCAGAATGATGACAGTGGCCAAGGAGACTCAAGCGCTCGACTTGAGCGCCAGAGAGTGCAGAGCTCTGTTGCGAGTGCTCTTTTTGCGTCTCGTGCTCTTTTGCCTCGCCTCTTGCGTGAACATGCTTCCGCGCAGTCCGGGGTCTTTTACAGTGTTACGTATGTCTTTTGTGCCCAATGAAGTTGTTGAGTGGGAAATGCACAGGAGATGGATTGAACACAAATGTTCTGCTTGCCTTCAATGCAGACAAGCGCAACGCCAGCTCTTTGTCGCAGGCACAGAGTCTTTTGGGACCTAAATACGTGGGCGAACGCTTCAAAGGCCCAAGCCACCGATCACCGCATGACAGGATGCTCGTGCAGCCGTTGTCGCTGAAGTCATCCCGGCAAGCACCATCAAAGCGATTTTGCATCTATTCCTCTACGCTCTGCACCAGGCTGGTCCCAAGTTTTCATGTTGTGAGTCATGACAATTTTGGCTAACAGATGTCAGAGTCTGCATGCGATTTGTGAGTGCTTGAGCTTGGCGGCAGAGAGGAGGCGATCGCTTTCAGAAGTGCAACCAGGGACACTGAGGCGAGCAATCTTCCTTCACGCTGTATGGTCACTGTAGCGAATGCTTTCGGCGTAGAACACGCTCTGCAGATTCCTGTTCGGGTCATCTCGGGCATCATCAACCAGTGCATCGCCGCTCTAGCAGCGCTCATGCAACTTGATTGAACTGGGTGTCCCAGCATGTTTCAAAATCTTTCCTCTCTTCGACTGCACGAGGAGTCTGACTGGCAAATCCAATGCAGAGTTTGGACCGGCAGAGGCTCTAGCTCATGCCCTATCAGCTTTATAATATGTCGTCCCGGCTGAGAGGGCTGTGCTGGTGACTTGCTTCAGGACGGCCCTGAAGCGGGGTCCTGCGATTACGACGTTTGTGAAGCAGTCTCACAAGCCATGACAGAGGGAGCTCAGCTGGTGCCCAGAGCCCGGGTTGCTCAGCTGCAGGCCGGAGAAAGGGAAAATGTTGATGTGAACGTGATGTTCTGATTGAGGGATGGTGGGAACTGGTGGGCGGAAGGTTGATGAAGGTTGCCCTGGTGGCGCATTGCCTGGTCAGGCCGAGAGATCTGCCGATTCCCTTCGGTCCCATGTGCAGCGGATGATGGAGGCTGTCATGGCTTCGGTGTATAGTCGGCCAAACGTTGTTAAGTAGCAGTGGGGCGCATGCGAGTGGCGAGTGCAGGAGGGAGAGTTGGACTTCTCTCAGCCTGGGCGTGGGCGACAGAAAGCGTTCCTCACCGAGCGGATCAACACTGTCGCATTTGTGTGGACGCGTCTAGATGGAGATGTCCAGGTGCCTGCTCTTCTTTTTTTTTCCTTGTGGGATATTCCTGGAGCGTCGCGTCCGCTCCCTTGCGTGAGGACAAGCGATGCCTGCTTGTCACCACTACGCGCTTCCGCATGGCCTTGCTGCACGTTCCGGCCGATGGGTCGACAATACCACAACCTGCTGAACTACGTGTCGTGTCCCAACCGCGCAACCTGCAAGACATGAGACGTGTGGTATTCGACTTGAGGACAGATGAGTAGGAACCTGAATGCACGAGAAGCCCACAACATTGACAAAAATGCCATCGAATCCATGGTGCGAGGATGCGGCAGATTCTATGCTTGGTCTGGGGGAATGATGATGATGACGTTGATGAAGTTGTTTCGTTTCAGCTCCTGGTGTTCGAGAGCTCTGCACGCCGGCGGTCCTTCCAAGAGGCCCAAATTCTGCATAGAGTTTTGCCGTTTTGTTTTTGAAGGAGCCGCAGGCTCGGAAATGCAAGCACATGCATCAGTACAAGTCCCTTGCGCAGATGCTGCACCGCAGGCTTTGCGCAAAGTGCCACGGAAGCAGGGGTACTCTGGCGGTGAGGACGGAAAGAATCTAGCCGGAGTCAAGCTCGAACGGTGTAATGTGAGTGAGGTGGAAGAAGCTATCTTTGTTGATGTCAATTTCGGTTGTGTGCAGCGAGCTTTGGTGAACTCCACAAAGGAATGATGCAACGGCATCCATTCGAAATCGTGCACGCGGCATTCTTGAATCGGCCGTGAAGCCTACTTCACTGGAGTCCCTCCGGGAGACATGTCAAGTTCGCAGGGGTGGCATTCCACTGGCCCCACAGCTGCATCTTTGGGACAAGATCGGATTGTTGAGTTCTTGCTTGGCTCAACGCTTTCCTTGTAATCCTAGCAGGATGTCTTGGAGGATGTTCGGCTGCCTTGTTTCATTTTGTCACCCTTTTCGCATTAACAACAGATTTTTTGCAGTCCTTGGCGGTCACTTCTTGCTTTTTGGGATCACTGATGGAATCTGTTGCTGCTGATGGTGTCTTTCCTGGGATTGCATTCTGCTTTCACATCTTCGGGTAGTCTTTGGCATATTGCGGCATCGATTGGTTTCGCGCGCTCTCATCTTTCTACCGTGCATCCCCTGCTTGTTTTCCTCCGTCGCATTTTGCTGGTCATGTTTTCTTGTTGCTGCCTTCCTGCTGTCACATCACCTGGGATTGTTTCCGTCGATTCGCTGTTGCTGGCTGCTGCCGGCAACTCAGTATATTTTCTTGGGTTTCATGAGATTGACATTACAAACGGAGCTCTTGTCTCACCCCGAAATGCCTTATTAGAATGACCCCTATGAATTAGTGTCATTACTGGGGCCATTGATCCTACATGATGATTAGCCCCGTGACAGGACGTCCAAAATGAGGCAACAAACCCCCCGGTATATAGTTAAAAGGACCATTAAGAATATTCAAGGCGGAAACGGCCTAGCGAACGGGCAATCCGAACATCAAACGCGTATGAACAGAGAAAAGCACTACAAAGAACCCAGCATAATAGCTCGAATGTTAAATGCAGTGTTCATTCAGTTATTATTCACTCTACTCTTTGTGTTGTTATCTTCGATATCTGGTTTTTATTTTAAGACCCGCGATTGTAGAGCTCTCGCGTCTTTATCATCCAAATGTAAGGAAAACAGCGCTAGAAAATGAGCAAAGTGAACGGAACAAACGAAAAACCGGAAAGCGTATTGTTTTTTGGTTTACATCTCATTCTACTGCATTTGTTGCAATTTCTCAGCGTTAATGGATTTTGCAAAAATACTTCTTTTCATGCATGGGACCATGCCCATGGGCTCTTTGAATGCCGCCCTTTGACGTGATTGACTGTACATATCCTGACATCTTGCATCCACGGGGCGTCGCTGGGCGATCGTGTTTGTGTTTCCTCGTTCAGGTCAGTGTTTCGTTTGTGCAGAGCTCTGGTGGATTGGGCCTCAATGGACAGCTGGACATGCTCGTCCTGACTCGCTGCAGTGTGACTGTGACTTGGCAGAAGTCTTGCTACCAGCACAATCAGCCCAGTCGTGGGCTGCCTGTGAGACGCCACACCGGCATTTGTGAAAATGTAGTTGGTGGCTGGCCATGACTTGGGCAAGTGTAGGTCGTCTCGTTCCAGAGCTTCTGGTCAAAGTTCTGGAGGCACTGCAGCGCGAACCCTTGCGAACCCTTGTCATTGTTTGGAAATCCGGTGCGCATAGGACCAACGATGAAAGATACTATGACGAGGAGGTCACCCAGGCAAGCCTGGATACCGACTCAGAAGACGATCGGCTACCACCCTTCAGCGAAAGTGTTGTGGCCACCTCCAATGACCACGCCGACAAGTGCGAGGTGCCAGAGATTACACGCCCGGTAGCAGAGACAAGTGTTCTCCGTGGAAAAACCTCCCTGTGGAGGCACTGCACGGCCCGTGGGACTTGGACGACCTGCAAGGAGTCTGGTTCCTTTCCGAGACGAGTCCCAAGGCCGGGAGAGGGGGAGTATCTCAGTATCTCTTTTTCCCTCGACCTAAAGCCTGAGAGGGGAGTCTTCTAATTTTTTTATGCTGGGGCAGCTTGAGGGACTCTCTCTTCATGCACGCTGTCCACAGGTCCGGCTTCAGTTTGGATCCACGATCGAGATCACATTCTTGAGCGACGGGGAAAGGCAACGATTTCGCCGACATTTGGTTTGGACCTCAGCATGAGCTGCGCATTTCCAAGCAGAAGCTTGTGACATCTTGTGACAGACTTGAGCGCTTCAGGCCAGCATCCTGGCAGAAGGCGCAGTCCCGCGACCTGGCAAAACCTCACAGGCCGAAGTGTCTGATGGGTTCGGGTAGAGTGTTGAATGCCTGGAAGCGTTCTTTCCAGGCGTGGGCAGTTGTCCCAACAGACAAGACGGACATCAAGACCATACAGAAAGAGACCGGGGTGGGCCCCTTATTGAAAGATCTTGCTTGCAAGTGTTGGCTCTGGAGTTGGACAAGTTGGACTTCTCGAGCCCAGGCCATGCCGAACTCCCGACTGGCACTGACGCATGGACAAAGAACCTGAGTGTCGAAGATCATTTCCGACCCCAGGAGTTCCCATTTCACGAAAGAAGGGTTCTCCCGTGTGCGAAATCCATTTCACTCCTCAGACTAGCCTCAGGCTTCTGGGAGAGATGTGGTGTCTCGAGATGTGTAGGGTGTTCTGTCGTGGAGCTAAACTTTGCTCCAGGATGTGCGGGAGTCTTTGGGCCGCAAAGGAGGTCGTCTTGACGCAAGCTCAAGACCTGTTTTACATCCCGCTGTACAGCAATGTTCGCCAACATACTTGCTCTGCAGGGATTCCAAAAAAGGGACAGTGACCTAGAATGTCCCATTCGCTTCCAAGATATGCGGAGCAGCAACCACAAATTGCTTGGCAGCATGCGATCCTCGGAAACTGCGCTCCCTCTCTGGCTCCCGGGTGAAATGGTGAGGTTTTTTAAATGTTTTTTTCCTTTGGCTGCCGGGTCAGATGGGTGGGCTGCCAGAAAGGACGGGCTTCCTTCACGGGTTTTTTCTGGCTGGGAGGAGGGCTGGTCCACGGGCCAGAAGGTTCTTTTCATTATCGTTGTGGCCCCCTCTGCTCCTGTGAATCGGATGGGGTCCCGGGTTCCAGTATTTTTCCATGCACGCACCGACGAACGCTTGTGCATCCAAACCTTCCAAGCCATTACAGTCACCAGCTGATGCAAAGAAACTGCATGTTACAAGGCAGCCGTTTTTCTTTCGAAACCGTTGGAGTGGGACCAACACCCCAACAGCTCCAGCTGTTTTTTGTTTCGCGTCTAAGTCCGGACGCGGCTCATGGGGTTTGCCTACATGCCTGTGTCAGCACTTTCTCAGCCCAACTTTCATGCCAGAGTTCTGCTGGGTGTGGTTGCTCAGGCTTCTCGCCTTTTTCTGCAGCTATTCCTTTTGATCCAGAGAGATTCATGTAGCGTGCTGTTGAGAACATGCTATTCGTACATGAACTTTTAGGTAACACAACAACTTGGCTTTGCAAAACAGGTGTTACCTTCCGCAAACAGAAATAGGCATTTGTCAATCTCGCCTGTGAAACGGACTAGTGCGCCATTGAGTCTGGTGACGCAATGCTGCGGCTTGCCGGTCGGCGGCATGTTACGTGGCTTGGCTTTTGGCAGTTTGGAGCTGGTTCCCATATGTTCCCATGTCTGCCACTCTGGATGCTCTCGTGAAGTGCTTGCCAGGAAGCCTCTGCCCTTGGAGTGGTTGCGGGTCTTCGGATTCAGAAGGCTCGTGCCGTATGTGCGCCAGAACAGAGATGCTCGAAAGCTCGTGCACAGGATATGACAGCGAAGAAGACGAGTCGGTTCCTGATTTGCACTGCCCTCTTGGAACTGCTTCGCCTTCGCCTATCTGCGCCGAATCGAGGTGGTGCTGTTGGAGGCTCTGGAGGCCTTTTTGGTGGAAACTTGTAACGGTAGCTGCGTGGTGTCAAGGAAGCCTGGTTTGCAAACTGGAAGGGGTTCCAGTCTGCGAGAGCTGCCATCTCCAACACGGAATCTCAAGTCATGCACTCCCAGGCCATTCGACACGTCGTTGCATGCTGTCGTAGACCTGCATTTACATGCCACCGAGGCGCCGCCCCATTCTATCTCGCGGAGCACCACGCGCATGTCGGCTGCTAATTCGCTGATCGCTGCTCTGTTTCAACTTGCAGTTTCTTCGTCTGCCTTCTGTTGTGCACCAAAACTGTCATCTTCTCCTCCATCTGCGGGAAACTTACTGAGTTGGCACCTGAACAGCCCCAAAACTGTGCTTGCCGCATGGAGGCCCCCTGCAAGCTTAGGCCCATCATGGTTGAAACATAGAGGTTTCAAGAAAAACAACAACGCGGAATCTGGACCTCAGTATCTCCAATCTGCCTAATCTGCGCTATCTTTGGCCCGTTGGAGGCGCTGCTGGTCTTTTCCTCATTGCACCGGGCTCAGAAGATCTCAGCAGCCTCTCCAGCAAAGCCAATCCACAGACATGTCCTTAGCACCCAGGGCGCCACTGTCTTCGCCGGCATAACCCTGGCAGCCAAAGCGTCCTCTGGTTCCAGGTGTGAACATCCAACTGCCGGCTTCAACAGTTCGGCGTGTCTGCATGTCTTGGAAAGACACAACAGATTGTGCCATGTTGTGTCCCAGCCTGCAGGTCCGGCGATGCGAAGCCAGCTGGTATGACAGCCGCTCCCCGAGACACCTGAGACAGGTCTTGACAAAAGCTTGACGGACAGTCTGCACATGCCTGCACTGTGCAAGGCAGAAGAGTTGCTGAGAAGTTCGGCCATCATGTCTACCGCCTCATCCAGCCTCACTGAGCTGTTGGAGCTTCAGGCAGAGGGTCCAAGCGCTTGTGTGCGAATATCTGCGATCTCCTTTCAAGACTTTCGCTTCCATCCCGGAGCCTGGCTATGGAAAGGCTCCGCGCGCGAGTCTTTTCTGGCCATCAAGAGAGGCGCCCTTGGTTCAGTATGGCTGAAGGAACGGAATGCAGCAACTGACTACGTAGTCAAGGTCGTGCCGCCTGCAAATATAGGCTATTTTGGCTGTTTCCGGTGGCTAGATTATTGCTGCTTCGGATCCCTATTTAGCTGAACAAGCATTGGAGGGAACTTGCTGTATAAGGTCGGCGAAAGGTTGGCGAAAAGGTGCCACAAAAGGCTTACCTATGCATGCATATGTCTGTGAATCTTCTGACCCTTTGCAGTGTAGTTGATTTTTACTTGCAGCATGTCAGCGGGTTGTGCGGGAAGGATTAACTTCGCTTGGTCTTTGGTTTTGATGAAGATGAGTGGCACCAAGTTTGCTACGCAATCCCTGCCGCTTGCATACCCACGATTGCGAGCAATGTCTGAAAATGTCCCCCGGCATGCAGGTGAACGCGTCGCGACCTGCCGAGCGATTGGTGTGGTCCTCGGTGTCTCTTTCAACGTATGGTCACTTGCGGACATGTCGTTTAGGCTGCAGCAGTCCGGAGCACGTTTCAAAACATCAGCGATGTCCTCAGCCTGTCGGCCTGCTGCTGGTTGCGATAGGGATTGTCCGTGACTGCTCTGCAGCGACCAGGCTCTGCCATGCAACGCCAGCAGCACTTGTCGCAGGAGCCAAAATAAGTCATGCCAAGCTAGCGAAGAGAAGCCCACGGCAGGTCAACAAGTGGTGTTTGTCAGTTCTTAGGCTTACGGTTCTTGCACACGTGGTTCGAGATTTTGTGCTTGGTTGCCCTCCTTCTTAATGTTGCCCCCAAACAGTTCCCGCCTGACAGGAACTGCGTTCCTTTTCCCTCACGCAGGGCCAGCTTCAAGCTTTTCTGAGCAAGGACCTTGGCGCTTGACAGACCTGGTGGGCAGGAAGATGCACAAAGACACACAAGATTCTAGCAGACATCTGGGCGCCGCATGTGCCGTGAGGCATCCTAGAACATCTTGCCGACCCGCGAGTCCAGGATCTAGGCCAGGCGTGACGAGCAGCTGCTCAAGTGGCCGTTTCGTTTAAATTCAAAAACCGATTTGCCTTAAATTCTGCTGTCCGAGACAACGTGCGTGAATGAATGCCAATGCGTCGGGAGTGGTACCATTGATACCTCGCCCCGGCCTGCGGGAATCGCTTTGCAGGTGTCTGTGTGGCGAATGCATTGCAGCAGTACTTCAGTGAAGGGAAGGGTGCCGGCGAAGAGGCTTGAGTAACTTGATGAAACTTGCTTGTCAGGCTGAGCTTTCAGCGGCCTTTCTTGTCCCTTGCCCTTCCGGTGCCACGCAGGACATCAAGCTGCACTTGATTCGCGCCATTCAGCCGCGCATCGTGGAAATTCGAGAGCTGTGGCATGAGGCACAACCACACAGGCTGTATGACTGCGACGCTAAGACGCTGGACGGATCCTTTGCCTCGAGGTGAAATTGGGAGCCTTGCATGGGCCTGGCTTGGGTTGGGGTGTCGCAGATCTCAGCATATCTCAGCTTTCACAATCAGCCAATCAGCACATATTCCCATGTCATATTCTGTTTTGGCTGAGGTGGCAGTGAACCCCTCCAACCTGTTCGTGCTGCAGTCGTTCAGCCAGTCGACGTGCGCTCGGTGCTGCACTTTACACCTCTTCGCACCTGTTGTGGGACCTGTTGGAAGCTTTGGTACCGAAAGCAGAGCCAGGCTTGGGTTTCTTGCTTTAAGCAGGTGGGGCCGACAAAGTCTGGAAACCCGTGAGCCGTCGATTCTATCATGGGGTGAGGAAAGGGAGGGGGCCTCTGGTGTGGTGGGTCAGGAGGCTTCCTATCAGATCAGCCGCATGCAGCCGCATAGTCATGCTTCGCGTCCGGGCTTTCGGTTGCGAAAGGTACATCTCACCCCCACAGAAGGAGCGATCCCAAGCCTTTTGGGCCGCATGCTTAGTCTGCCGATCTGGTGTGAATGAGAATGGCGAGAGATTTTGTAGTTATGTGCGTGAATTTTCGACTAATGGACTTTCGGATTCTTGTTCCTGACGTGAGCTCCTCAAGCCCTGAGATGGCTGCCGCGACTTTTGAACAAGCGCGGGTACTTTTACTCCATCTGGAGGCGACTCTGTCCGATGTCCACAGTGTCCGATGTCCGCATGTTCAACTGCAGAAGACGCTCTGTTAAGTGTTTCCAATGCCAGGACAGTTTGAAACACAGAGAGAGAGAGAGAGAGAGAGAGAGAGTAGCCATTTTGGCTCAAGCCATTTTGGCTCAAGGAGCGGTTCGAGCCTCCACCCCCTGTGTCCCGGGAGGACAACCAAAGAAAGAATCCCGAAAGGCGAGCGCTCCTAACCCCCAAAGCTCGCTCCTTGCCGCCATAGGGTGAGGGAGTCCCACATTCCAGTGATCGGGTGTCCTACGCGCGATCGAGCAGAAGGCTGCCGCCGGCGAGTTCGGAAAGTACGGAGCCCATCGGCAACCGCGGCTGCTTTCGGCGAGCGGGGGACACTGACTCCAACTACCACACTGTGATCGGCGAACCTACACGCCTTGTACCACCGAGAAGCGATTCACCGCTTGCCCT